ATATATATATATATATATATATATATATATATATATATACTGTGTGAGTGTAGCCATTTGGAGCCTTTTGTCCAGAGGAATATGTCCTACCACTGGGTGGCAGTCGTACACTGAGCATTTAGTGAACATGTGGCATGATTTTGTTGTGAACAATCTTGGTAGTCCTTTGTTTGGGCAACTGGGTGTTTTCTAGGGTGTGAAAGAAAAAAAATTCAGCCAAATGTTAGGCTTGACATAATATTGTGTCAGCTCCCTTAGTCATTTCAGCTGATCCATTCATAATTAGAAACACTGCTTCAAAGACTGAGATTCCTCTTTAGGGACATCACTTTGGAACTATGAGCCCTGGAACCCTGGCTGGTATGCAGGAGGTTAACAGAGGGAGTTGGAGGGACAGAAAGAGCTTTTCTTGCTCAACACAGCGGTCACCACTTCTTGACCGAGATATGAGAGCAGTGCAAAGTCCTCTCGAAGTTAAGTCCTCTCTTGGTTTGTAGACTCCCTTCCTGTAAAGAAAACTGGCACCATTTTTCTCTCTAGTCTCCTGCATGTCAGCATTTGCCTTCTCAGTAAGGCAGGCCATCCTGCCCTGGCAAAGGTGAAAAGTAGATGTAGAGGGGAATGTAATGGAACTCATTCATCTTTTGAAAGGAGCAAACAAAATCAGGCTTCATGGTAGTAAACAAATCAAATGTTTCTGGTTTGACAACTAGATGCTGGTTAACCCAGACTGTTTTGTAAGTTTTCTGACTTTGTAGTTAGGCAGTCATTGCTTTTGTCTTTAGTAATTTATTCGGGGATGGAGGAGAATGGGGGTGGAAGGGGTATTAGAAAAAAGAAAGCATGAGAGAAAATCAAAGTTGCCTCCAGGGCACAGCGCTGATGACACTGTTTTATTAAGTGCAGCCTTAATGTTGGCCATAATCAACACACACTTCTCTTGAAGATGAGAATGATACCCACAGTAGGTAGCTAACCTGAAGCCAGACAAGGAAATGAAAGCCTGACTCTTTAAAAATATGTCCCGTTTCCCCACCAAGAGACAAAGAAAAGGGAGCCAAAGAATAGAAGTGACAAAGGCAGTTTCATAGTAATGCCTTGCCTGTGAGCTCTTCATTCAGTGAGCAGTTACCAGGTGCCTCCAACGTGCCAGATAATACACGTGAAAAAGGTTACTTTGGAAGACAGAACAATTTCACTGGAATTGTGTTTATTTGGCTGTGTTTGGGATAGCTGTGTAAGGGTGAAACAAAAACCAAGTCCTTCGTCATTTGGTCTGAAGGTTGAAACATTTCCCATCATTTAATGTCATCCATCTCTTGATCCTGGAAAATATGGATGGTTTGGTGTTTTGTTTTGTTTTGTTTTGTTTTGTTATCCTTTGCTGTGCAGTAGTAGCTGAAGCTGTGCCTGCCTTCCTAATCCTGTGTGTGCTGGATTCAATTTAGTGGCTGGATATGGTGGACTTGGACTCAGGGACAGAATACTTTTTAAGAGAAGACTATCTTCAAGGATGTATTTGATTAGACTGAACTCTCCAAGAGGACAGGGGATGACATGGTTCTCCCCAGAGCCTAACCCCAGAGTCAGTCCAGTGCCAGGCCCTGAGTTAGCGTTTGTATGTCAAGTGACAAGATTCCAGGCGGAGGCCAAAGTGCAAGAGCCACCTGTCCTCAGACCACTCGGCACCCCTGCTGCTTGTGGGTGACCTACTGATGATTTGGAAATTGTCTGGTTAGTGTTATTGAATTGACATCTAGAATCCATAATGGACTTACTTTGAAAACTAAGCCAAAATAAACCTTTCTCCCACTTAGCTGCTTTTGTCAGAGTATATTTTCACATCGACAGTAAAGAAACCAAGACAAATAGGAAGAACCTGGACAAAGGGAATGGGAAACAACAGAGCAGAGTATTCAGCTAAGGAGTCAACTTGGACAAAGGCCCGAGGTGGAAGCAACATAACATCTAGAATAGGGCCCAGGTAAAGTGCATGTGGAGACAGAGCTGCCTGGGCAATGGGGCCTGTGAGGGAAGCAGGACTAGAGAGGAAGGGACACCTGTAAGGAGGGAATGGAAGAGTGTTGAGAAAGGGTGTGGGTGTTACAAAACTTGTGTTCCCAACAGCTCAGTCAGCTTTCATGACAGAACAGGGAGAAGAAGAGTACAAACCGGATCAAACATGGCATGACTGGGTTACGGAGGGATGAAGACCAGAGAGAAACACACTGTTCTGACCTCTGGCAGACTCAGTAGAATGTCACTTTAATAGCAAAGCTCTTTATTGTTTTTAGAAATAAGCAGAATAAACATCAGTAAATGACAAATTGGAAGAGAATTTTCACCTCCAGCGGAGATTATTTTGTTCCCAGCATTTCCCAAATGTCAAGAAACTTTTCAAACAGCGCAATCATGGTGAACGAGACAGGACCGATGAATGAAATTTTAAAATTAAACAAAGAAAATGCTCTGGCACCCTCTGAAGCCCAGAGGCTTTGGACTGCTCTGCAAATGAGTTCATGTAGGGAACTAAGATCATAGAGAGGAAGGCTTGATCCTGGCCTTCTGGAAGAACCCCCGCTAGTCATCTGCTCCTTGTCAAAATGACCAGGAGGAAGGAGATACCTGGAGAGTGAGGTCACAAGGAGCCCCTTTCCAGGCTGCAGTGCAGGAGCCTATGGGTGGATTTACCCAGGAGGGGGGGGGGCTGCTTATCTGTGTGTGGTTGGAATCTCCCCTCGACAGCACGGTTCACCCTGGTACCACGAGGTATTTTATGAGCAAAGTTAGTGTGTGGTATATGTGCCCTTTGAAGGCAGAATAAAAGGGTATGATTTAAAAATAGAAGTCAGCTTCTCATAGCAGATTACATCAGCTGGAGCTGTGAGCCCCAGCAGAGCCTCTGAAGCCTGTGCCCTTGAGAGCTGCTGCGGTCAATTAAGTGTCTTGTTTTTCTTGAAAGTCAGAAATGGGATGGGGGGGGGGATGGGGCGTAATTATTCTAAATGGAATAAAAGCCATCTTAGGTGTAAGAAAATAGTTCTGAAGCCTCTAAAGAGACAGCAGGGCAACGTATACATTGGCATTCGTAGGACTCAACCTTTATAGACAAGGGTACGGAAACCAGTGTCTCAACCAGAGCCATTTACTAAATAGTTTAATGAAACCCTGCAGCATTTGGCTAGTGTTTATCTAAAAGGCGTCCCAAGAACTGTGAGTGATATGTGCTGGGATTCTTTGGCCTGTCTGTCTCCATTGTAGAGCCCTGTTAATTCACGAATCGTCTCATCAAAGGACACATTACACTAAGGCTCTTAGCAAACAATGGCGTTCACTAGGTAGAACCTTACTGGAGTCATCAGTCAGTGGTGACCCTGTGTCCCTGTGCCGAAGGTTTGAGTCTAGGAGTTTGGTCAATGACTGATAAACAGCAGTATTGATAATAGATGTTTCTTTTTTTCCCCCCTGTGAACAAAGACTTGGGTTAATTAATTTGACAGTTTTATTAATTACTGCTGAAATCACTGGTTCTTGTTTGAGGTCAGGCTCTTTTAGCAATTGAGGGCAGGTCCCAGGGGAGTTGAACCTCTAAGTATTATAGGACTGTCACCAAACCCCCTTCTGCTTGCCCTGTGATAGAGGATTTCTGCTCTCTGGATAAAACCAGTTCCTGCTTCAATTCAAAGGTCTGAGACCCACCAGCAAGCCGGGTTGAGTGAATGGACAATATTTTGTTTGGTCTGTGCAATGGGCCAATGTTAAGTATCTAAACAGAACTTCAACCTTCCTGGGCTTTCCTTAGTTCCTGTAAAAAGAGGAAGGGGTCTGACTCCATTGTTCCTCCTGCCTCTTCTCCTTCTAGAATTCTATATATGGGTTGAGCCCTTTTATGAGGTGAAGTGAAAATTCCTTTTATTGAAGTTAATACGCTTTTACATGTATCTGTTTCATAGTTCTTGGTGTTCATTGGTTGTTTCGGTATGTGCCTGTGTTTGTTTTGCTTTGGATGTTTAACTAGGGCACTTGTTATTTGTGGTCCCCCAAGAAGACTGAAACTTGCTGCCAAAATGCCATAGGAAAAGCCGGCATTTTCACACGGCACAACTTGGAAGAGAACTAATAATTACAGCCTTGCTTTCAACTCTGACTTTCATAAGATGAGGCCTTTGGGCCTTTGTGTGTCTTTATTGATTTTTTTTTTCCTCCCACTGAACTTGGTAAATACCAAAAAAATCTGCTTGAGGGCCATACTAAGACTATTTAGACTAACACCCTCAGAAGAGATAATGCTGGCGGAGCTGGTAGCTGTGGAGGAGGGTGGAGCTCGTGT